ACCCTTTCTGAATGGAGGTTCCTTTGCAGGCAGAGCTCATTCCTAATCAGTATTCCTGTGTCCAAGTGATCCAACAGCCCCCAGGCAAGAATAGGAAAATCAGGCCAGTAAGTTTACAGGAGCTTGTAGTAGCTGGATTGGTCATACATTTTCTCAAGGATAAACAATTAATTACATGCTCCTTTAGCTTGAACTCTATTTGTAACAACTGCTTTCGTAGAAGATTCAGCGGTGGTTATTAATTCTTGTTGCTCACTTAAGCTTCAGACATTTATATTTCTGTGTAGGGAGAAATCAAATCATACTGGCCCGCCAAAACAAAAGTAAAATGCTGCTTTTCATACAAACACAGTTTACTATATTAAGATATTAACATTCATCAGCCTGTTCCTATTAAGGCTTTCTATCTGTGACAGGACCTAATAGATGTGCCTTTCAGCTTAGGGGGTATATCCCAGTTTATCAGGTACAAGATTTCACAAACCGGTTAAGCAACTAGTTTTAGAGGATAGTTTTGCTTAAGTTGAAATGACAATCAAACTTGGGCTGTGTTCCAGATGAATACAAATTGACATTAAGGGCCAGAATGCTAAAAATAGAAGTTGCCAGGTGTGGCGCTGAATTAGTAAAGTAGAAAACAGGGTGGTATGAATTACAGAAAAAGAGGTTCCATAACCCTTCAACATTGATGCAAGAGAAAGTCAACCTTACATAGGCACCACACAAAACTGTTTTTCTTAAAGGTAACTGCAGTGGAATTATTATAATTATTGTAACGATCGGTTAGTGAGTGCATTAAACGAAAGTGTATTAAGCTTTCAGATTTACTTAGTTGAAAGTTAGACACTTCTATTTGGTTAGCATTTTAAACATTTTTTTAAATCTCCGCATGTTAAATGAACCACTGTTGCTACTAACGTAAACATTCTGATGAGTATCCAAAGATATGACCTCTATGTGACCCCTTAACCTTGCCTGTAATTATTTGTTTGAAGACAGTATGAAGTTCCCATGCTGAGAGGGACTATAATGGTTTGCAGCTCTGTGCAGCCTTATGTGCAAGTATGTACAAGAGGAGCAAGAGAGACTTTATAATAAGGAGACTACCAGATGTAAATAATAAAAATGGTTGGGGGTAAAAAGAAAAACCTAGTAATTTAGTCCAGCCCATTACTTGGATAGCGGCAGGGAGAAATGAATGGGGGAGGGGAAAGAGGAGGGGTGCATTACTCTGATGTGATACAGGAGCACATTGAAGTCTCCTTCTCATCTCTGGAGTTTTTTTGTGTGTCATATGCGCACACCATTAGCGGCTCTTGGGAGGAGAGAAAACAGTCTTATCTGCTTGGTCTGATAATCTCAATTGGCCGTATTCTGATTGATAAAAGGGAGTGTAGCTACAGAGCTTTGAATCAACTCCCAAAGGGATGCAACACATTAGTCTGCCGGTAAGGCTAGTATGGAGAGGGTTATTGTGCTCAAAATGAGCAAGTATGGACACCAAAAGATCTGAAGTATAATTTACACTACACCTCACGCATTCTTTTCCCACTTGACATGTGAAAAAGCAACCTACAAATTCTAAACATTACAGCATTAAGTAAGCATTGAAAACTGAAGAAAATACAGAACAGCTTTAGATGCAGCAATCCTATTGCATTTTACTTCGCTGGTTCTAGACTTGAAACAGTTACAATTGCCTTTGGTTCAAATCAAAATGTCAAGTATAAACAGTGCAAATGAATGTATTCCAATGGTAGATTAGAGTAAATGTACATACCTTCTAATGTCAATTTAAACTCAGTATGTATGAAGGGCAGGGAATTAGCATTATATTGACAACAGAGTAGCTCAGCCTGGCAAGTTAGCATTATCACAATGAGAAAGTGTTAGCTGAGTAAACTCAAGTTACCTTCGATACTGCTATAGTAATGTGTTTGTGTTTGTATGCATTTTAAACAAGAAATATCTGGTGCTAGTGACAGATGTAATTACCCATTTCTTTCAGCTATGCTGTTAGAACCGAAATCAACATTGGTCAAAGAGCGAATAATGCACCCTTCTGGACTGTAAAGTAGACACATAGCCTTGGGTTACTTGTATTGAGAAAAACTGGGAGGGGAATAAAGGGTGACATGCTGCCATGACCAAATATAGGTCCTTAGAAAAAGCACTTAATATTAAAACTCATTCCTGAAACTTTTTCCTTATTTTAAAAAGTCTGCTATTTGGCCTATCATGACTGCTGGACTTTTTGAAAGAGCTACCCAACATCCCATTTCCTCATAGCCCTGCAAATGTTTCCTCTTTAAATAGATTTGTAATTCGTCTTTGAATGTCACAACTGAATCAGCTTCCATCATCCTTTAAGACAGTGCTTCTCAGAACTCTCCTGATAAATATATTTTACACAATGTGGCATTGATTGTTTGCCATATTGTTCAGTCCAAATCAACTTTAAATCTCCCAACAACTGACAAGGTGAGTGTGTTGCTTGCCCTGACCATCATTGCTCCTTGTAGCCAATCAGCCAGAAATGCTTCAATGGAGAACACAGGATTCTTGAGTTTTTTTATTCCCTCTTGCACTTCCCCCCACCCCTTCCCCAAGCCACTTAGTGTTTCTCAGTATAAGAAGTGAGAACTAAGTCCACACTGGATCTTTTACATGATACTGCATATTAGTGCCTGCCTATCTTTCTCACTTTTAGTTTGATATTATTTGCAACCTGCGCAACATTTCCTCCATTACCCAAGAGCTTGGATCACTGAAATGCAGTGTTCTCGACTACAGCAGTGAATATAGATCTGTGATTGCACAATGGGGGACACAATTTAGTGGGTGGGACCTGTCGTGCTACTTTTTCTTCCACATGGGTGAATAAACCCTGCTCTTGCAAACTGCCCCATCTACTGGCCTGATGCAGAACTAACAATTGCTTAAGTAAAATTTTAAAGAGTTTCAGAGTTGGACCTCCGTAGAAGTACAAAGTTCCGGAGTGACATGCCTCGTATAGAAAAAAAATTAATCTAAGAGCTTTTATTTAAAAATTACCGTTTTAAAAACCAGCCATGAAGTCTCTAAGGACTAAAGTGAATTATCATGTGCACATTCTGTTTTATTGCACACGATCTTCATTCAGATTTGGCTTCAATGTCTATCGAATTAAATCAAAAACAAATCTGCCGAAACTCATGTCACATGTATAACTTAATATTACATTTTGCCTTGCTGCAATTCACTATGGTGGCAAGTATATGCACGGGATGAATTGAATTCAGTTTGGATCTCATAATCGTAACTGAACTGGCTCTCATTCTGAACAGGGTCACTCTGTGTATTCCAACTGTGGAACAGACGTTTGTTTACTGACGTTTTGATTTAATGATATCTGCACTGCTCGTTATAAAGAAGACTCACCATTTCCCTGAAGAACATCTCTTTCTTCGGTTGCTTAGCCTGTTTTAATGCCTGAAGCGGCTTTTCAACTGAAGCTTAGGCAAGACAAGTAATTGTGTTGGGTGACATTTTTTGACAACAAAGATAGAATGCAAATCTTTGGAGGATTGCCCTTCAATAATCTGTATACAGATGGAAAATAATTCATAATGCATTGCTAAAGCATTGACAAAATTAATACATTCCTCTTAGAAGGTGCTTTCTGAACTAAGAATGCTTACTTTAGAATAATAGGTAATTTGACAATGGCCATTTTGCATCAGAAATCTGCCATGGGACAATTTTTTTGGGCTTCTTGTTCATTTTCTTTCTCCCCATCCCCCAATTTCACAGCCATGAGACATTTGTTACATGCCATTCGCATGAGTTGTATTTCTTGCACTTAGCTGGACATAAAAGACAGTGGAGTAGCTTGGCTCCATTTCAAATGCAAACATTTGGCCTCTGCATAGAGATTTCTAACATTTCAGATAATAAAAAATGTGAGGGTGTTTTTTTGGATGGAGGGGCGGTTTGGCTGGGAGGTGGAGCAGATAAATTAAAGACAGCACTGCAATGATTAATTGCACAGCTTTTATGAAATCATTTTATCTGGCTTTTTGGGAAGAACAGGAGGGTGGGAATTTTCTGGTAACAGTGGATGACTGTCAAGGTGTAATATAATTTATCAAATCAGAACTGAAATCCAAGGTTGCTATATTTTTTTTTAGAACTGCAGCACTTTGCTGTGTCCTCGAAATACAATTATTGTCGAACTTTCTGATGTGAAAAGTAGCCTGTGTTAGGTATTCCAGAAAAGCATTAATTTTAATGACCTAATGGCTTGGTGACCCCACCACCATTTTTGATCCTTCTCCATCGCTTGTTTCCCAAAATGGCAAAATATACATGTCTGAATGCCTATGAAACCATAATCACCAAAAAAGGTGTCTGTTTTGATCTGTAGAAACAAGTCATCTATTTTCAAATGTCTTTTAGTACCCACATTCCTGGTGGGCATTTGCTTTTATTTTCTGCCCTGGGTGTGGAAATCTTGGTTGAAAAGGTCACTGTTGCCAGTCGCTAACCTCTAAATGACCCCTTGACTTTACAGTCTAAAACTGCAGGAGCTGCGAATGAGCGGGAGCCTTTCTGTACCAGCACTTATTTGCTGCTGTGGTGATAAAACTTCAGACAGCCTAATTGATGGGCTTGCTGACATAACAATACCTTGTGAAAGCAGAGAGTGGCAAACGCCTGGTCTTCATTTATGGACAGCTGGAAGGGGAGTTGCACCCCCTATGAGGAGAAAGCAACCTATTTGAGGCAATGAACTTTTACGATGTTTGTGACTCTAGCACAGGCAGACATTCTATCTTAAACACTAACATTTAAAATAGTTGATGTTAGAAACCTTTAAATCAACAGATGACGAATGTGCTCATGTGAACAGGTTGTCTTTTTAATGCCTTCAACAATTTGAAATGCTGCATAAGTTTGAGCTCTAATATTGATTATTCAGATTAAGAAATTAAAATCTCACTTTTTCATGTTTGTTTCAGGTTTATTAATGCCAGGAGAAGAATAGTACAACCCATGATTGACCAGTCAAATCGAGCAGGCAAGTCCCAAGTAGTAACTATATTCAAGTCCCGCAGGCACAAATCCTCATCAAGTTATTCTTCAGGAGTCCCTTCACCTGGTAAATAAACCTGGCTGCTTGGCATTCTGGAAAGGCTTTTGCTCCAGAATCCCAAAGCAGGGAGCAATCTTGCTAAATTGGTGCCAACTGGACTTTCCCACCCTCACTTTCCAGAGGCTGCTTTATTTCTGTTGGTATTGGTAATTGGGCAAACATCCTTGCAGCATATAAAGCTTGTTTAGTGGGTACTGCTACTGAATCACTGGTTGTCTTTCTCAGCCACTGTTGCTTTCCTTACTGCTCACAACCCCTTGGTGAATGTGCTTGCTTATTTTCAGCAACATTGCTACTTATCAACATTAATTAAAGCTATGGGTTACTTTAAAGAAACATGTTAAAATTCAACTAAATGGATTTGCAGTTAACAGCCGGTTGGATGAAACATCAAGGAACACATTTTGCTCCGTTCAATAATTGCACCAGAAAAAAGACATGAGACTAGGCAGTGTTCATGACTATACTATCATGGCCTATTTTTCCCAAAGTTAATCATTGGAGGAAGACATAGCCCCTACATTCTTGTTACCTTTGTTCTATTGAAAATTGTAATTGGTATGATGTTATATTTTCCAAGTTAATACCTATTGTAAAATAGCTGAAAATTAATTTGACTTTTTAAAAAATTGGCTTATTTATAATTTTTAAACAAAATACATGTTCAGCTGACTGTAGAATTGTGTCCTTCTGCATTGACTTGAGAAAAGCTTTATTGAAGTTTTGATTCTGAATCACACTGCTTTGATTTTATGTTGATATGCACCTGCTGCTTTCCTTCAATTTATAAAATGTTATTTATTCATGGGAATTGTGTACAATTTGAAGAGCTTATTTCTCTGTTGGGATCAGGATGATAGTGTAGAGTGAAATGAAACAGAAGGCAGAGTGCTACGATGGTCAGAGAGAGCTCTGATTTTATTTGACAGATTTAAAATTTAATCTCATTGTTGTACAATAAAGATTAGTGAATTTGAAATCATGCAAGAATAATTTCTGTGCTCCCTGTGCTGATTGCACTGGCTCTAGCTGTGGTTTAGACCTACAGGTGATATCTGAGTGCCTTGCCCAAGAGTCTTTCTTTATTTGTGAGTCTATAGAAAGTATTCAGGTATCAGACATCGCAGCCAAACTGCATGCTTTCATTACCCACATTCAACATAAACATGTTATTTTCACCTTCTTCCAAGTTCAGGAATGCTTAAGCCATTTGTGTTACTTCTTGCTTGTCTCAAGTCAGCTAGCTCAGCACAAGCTCTAATAGTTGAATCCTTAAGAGAAATAAAAAGGAAAATGTTTAAATATCTTTTTAAAAGAACTATTTAAATGGGTACAGGACTGGGACACAAGGCTGATGCCATGGCCAGGTAACTATTCCCTATGCTGTAATTTTGCAATTCTATGGAGCTGGGCTTCTCAAGTCCAGCAAGTTCAGCCCCATAGTACAACATTTGCTTAATCAGTGAAAAAGTTGAGGAGCTGCCTACAGAATTTACTTTTAGTCTCCATAATATTACATTGTTGCACAATGGGGTCATACAGCATGGAAACAGACCCTTCGATCCAAACAGTCCACACCAATCGTCTTCCCAAACTAAGCTCGTCGCAACTGCCCACACTTGGCCCTTATTCCTCCAAACTTTTACTTTTCATGAAGTTATCTAAATGTCTTTTGAACATTGTAACTGTACCTGCATCCACCACTTTCTCTGGCAGCTCATTCCACTCACAAACAACTCTCTGTGTAAAAAAGTTGCCCCTCATGTCCTTTTTAAATCTTTCTCTTCTCATCTTAAAAAAATATGCTCCCTAATGCCTTCATGCTTACAATACAACTAAAGAAATTTCTGAAATTAGTCATACTAATTTATTAGGAAAAATCTGGGCAAAATGCCCAGCTACATAATTTTTGGATTAAAAGATAAGGACACACAAGCACAAGAAATTCTTTATTCTTACATTAAATAAATTAATAAATCTTCTTGGTGTTGGTGAGGGGACCTTTACCTTACAGCATTATGCTATACACTGCGTGTGCTTTTGCAATCTAAGACTGCAGCTTTGGAATGTTTCCACCTCTCAGGGATTTATCAGTATGGGGAAGTGGTTAGGTTAGGTATCGCAGGTAGCGAATGCATTTGGTGCTCAACTTATTTTTTAATGGTACTTGCTTTTTAAGTTTCTGGTGTTTGACAACGTATTGTGTTTGCTGTTTCAGGAGTAACTGCTGATTGTTTGGTATGTCTTTTCTTTCTCCTCTGTGTCCACGTTTGACTACAATCAGGTTTTCTTCTTGATCCTTCAGTAAGCCAAGGAGCAGCATACAGTCCAGAGGGCCAACCAATGGGAAGTTTTGTATTGGATGGTCAGCAACATATGGGAATTCGGCCTGCTGGTAAGCCTTGTGCAGTCCTTCCATGCCCTAAGTGTAGCGTCATCACCTTCTCTATCCCGCCCATCCACTCCATTTGTCATGCCCACCATCACAGGGTTTTCCTCTCTGCCTGCTGCCTGCCTTGCCTGTCTTCTTTGCACCCACGGGGAAACAAATCCTTCAGACAAGAGATTTGTGAGGAATTTATCCGCCCCCACGGATCCTAAAATACACAAAAAAAAATTATAAGGGATCTTTTTCACTATTGAATAGTCGACCTTGCTGATTTTCTGGCATCTTCTTGGATTTTATCTCCCTTCTAGGACCTATGAGTGGAATGGGCATGAATATGGGCATGGATGGGCAATGGCACTACATGTAACCTTCATCTAGTTAACCAATCGCAAAGCACGGGGGAAGTAAGTACGATCAGGCTGTTTATTCTGTCTATTACTGTAGTGCAATTTTTTTTAATACCCACCCCCCCCACACACACCAGTTTTTTTCTCCTTGCCCGTATTTGCATGCTATTCCAATAAAGGGCTAGTTTTAATGATTTATCTCATGACATTTGACACCATTTCGCAAGCTGCAAAAGGTCACCTAACTAATTTACAGTATACAGAGCAAATTAGGTCTGGAGTAATTCTGTTTAATTATGAAGCCCAGAGAATCAAACTCAAGCAGCGAATGAACAATTGGGACATTTAAGGGAAAAGAAACATCTTCAGGGCACCAATTGACTTGAGAGAAATTAACCAGGCTTCATGAAGCGATAAAAACGAGAAGTGAGACTGTCCTTTGAGTGACATAAATCTGTCAGGAAACGATTGATGCATGAATTATCCTATATGCAAAAATGAAATGTTGCAGTTCCCAATCTGCAGTCTAGATATATGGCGAAATATGGTGCTACAATATATTTCTCACTTGGAGACCCCCGGACGCCATCACCACCACCACCACACGCCCATCCCATATTGAAAAGTATATCCATCGCCTCCTAAACAAGATTAAAATAAAGGTAAAGGAAAAAGTAAAATAAAACAGTAGCAGACATTAAGAGATGACTTGCAAGTGAAGGAATGGCATCTGCAGTGAAGCTGATTGGCTGCATTCTAAATAATCCATCAGTTGGAGTGTGTCCAATGTATGCGATGTTTGAGGAATTCAGATACAGCAAACAGCAATACATCACCAAGGCATCAGAGCATGAGGTTTTATTTAATAACTGAAACTCTTTGCTACCATTGAGCTTAATGCTTACATTTGAAAAAGAATGGCAGACTATTTCATTATTAAATCATCTTCAATCCTTTGTATTCAAAGTTGTATGTCCTACCCGCAAAAAATGAATTTCTGTGCAGTCGCTGAACAGCACTGGATTGTTTCAGATTATTTAAAATAATGGTTATAGTTTCTTGTGAGATCTTTGAGGAGGTTACCATAGTACATTAGTGATGGAGTCAATTTCGTGCCTTCCTTTCTTTACTGATGCAGTTAGAAAAATTTTAAAAGCAGTGTTCCCTAAAACAGTCATTGAGACAACATTTTCTCAGCTTGGATAATTCTTAATATAGGCCATATAATTTCTGGCCTATTTAATTACATAACATATTTTATGCTTCATAACCAATTACATTAATGGCTTAATACAGATAATATTATCCTCCTTTTATTTGATTATGGAGCCACACAATATGGTATATTTGGTACTTAATTATCATCATCCAGTGAGCACGCCGCTGTGCTAGAATAAACAGAGCTGAGTCGGAATTATTACAGAGTGCAGACAGTATTATTGTCTCAGTATGGTTTTACCACTGTGGCTACTAATGTACTACAAATCTACTTAAAACAATGAAAACAGCTTATAGGTTTTTAGATTAATGTCTTATAGTGTCATTAAAACCTATTCTAAATCCTCTTGGTAGGTGCTAGAGGACGGTAAAGTTAATTTCCTCTACTTTAGCTCCACAGGATAAACTATGTCGATAGTTATTTTGCATTAAAATTAGCTCAAGTTAGATAGATGAAATCAATGATTTAAATAATATTTTCTGGCAGATATTTCCTCATAAATGCCCATATCCCACACTCTCAGCAACAGGTATTGGCTCCTTTCTTCCCTTTTTCTGTTTCCAATTTCAGTTATATATCATGGAGAGGAAAATACAAGGGCCCACTCTACTGGTAAAAACATTCCTAAAATAGGATGAGAAGCACTTCCCTCATTTTCCTGAAAAGGATTTCTTTATTTGGAAATACTACGTGTGTGAAAGGGAGCTCTCATTGCATCAGATTTCTTGCATGTAGATATCTTCTTGGTTCCTTGCCATATTTCTTTGAGCAATATCTTCTCTGGTTCTGCTTAATCTTTAGTTTTTTATTCTATCGGTCCCTGTATTCTTTTTGCCTGTAACTTGATCTTTTTTCTTTCATGAACCGATGTATCTCCTGTGACCTATGAGTAAGATTGAATGCATGGTTATTGAATTAATCATTGTGACTAGTGCATTTGATTTATTATCATAAAATATCTGCAATGTGTAATAACACATATACATCAATAACATTGTAACTGTATATGCACAGAGATGTACGTGCAGACCATATAAGGAAGCTGCTAATAAGACATAAGAATAAGCTCTTAAGGAATGCATTTGTCAAAAATGTTAACAAATTTTAATTGTTTGTTCTCGTCTTTTCAGGTTTGCAAGGCATGCCAGGGGACTATGTATCTCAGGGTGGTCCTATGGGTATGAGTATGGCGCAGCCAAGTTACACTCCTCCCCAGATGACCCCACACCCTGCCCAGTTAAGACACGGACCCCCAATACATTCCTATCTCCCAAGTCACCCACATCACCCGGCCATGATGATGCATGGAGGACCCCCGCCTCACCCTGGAATGCCAATGTCAGCACAAAGCCCCACAATGTTAAATCCTGTAGACCCCAGTGTAGGGGGACAGGTAATGGACATTCACGCCCAATAGTATAAGGGAAAAAAGAGAGAGAAACAAAAATGTAAGACTTTATACTTTGAACAGATGTTGACACTTAATGGAATTCCAGATGAGCTGTGATTTTGTTTTCACTCAACGCCAGCAGAGGACCAATGGCAAGGCCAGGCAAATGTGAAGCCAAAAGCTTTCTTCACGTGAAATTAACTCCAATGTAAAGTTCCTCTGGAAAAGGACTGAAAGATTTATTACTACTGTAGCATAAATATAGGAACTAAGTTAACTTGTACATTTCTGTTGATCACTCTATTTCTGTTGCTTCCAATAGTTTTTAGAAAGAAAGTTATCCTTTTTCCACACTATGTGTGTTGTTTCCAAAATGGTTGTCCTCGTACAGCAAATGGAGCCACGTTTCAGACCAGATTGCCCAGATCCAGCCACCTTGCCATAGAGGAAGAAGCTAATATGAAGATCTGTGAGACTTCCTTGGATGCAGCCATAGGCGAAAGGTTTTGAGAATGCACTAACATACCTGATTTTCTCTGGAACAAATGCGGCCTGTCACAACAAAGCCTACTTGGTCCACCTGAAGGGCTTATGTCTGATCATATTCTGGATTGACTCTTCTTCAAAGAGCTTGTTGACGGAAACCTGAAGACAAATTAGCAGCTTCCTGCTATGGCTGTGGGCCTCAGGATTGAGAAAACGTTGTCACAAAAACAACTAAGAATGCTCTTGGGCAGACTTTTCTTAATGAAATTTCCTTTTGCTGGTCTTGCACCAAAACAGACCTTTTTAAATGAACTCAAACTGCTTGGAACAAGCAACGATTAAAAAAAAATACTGTAACATACTTGGTACAGAGAGTTCAGTATATTAATTGTTACATGTTAGATATCTATGTGTTTACCTCAATGAGAAATAACGAATGTTTTGCTAGTATCAAATCTGCTGTGGAATTGGTATTGTATGTCAATGAATTCCTTACTTTTATCAGCACGTGTCACTAGAAGAAAATGCTGTTTTCCTTGCGAGCTTTGTCAGATTACATAAATACTTGTATGAGGACTGTGACGTATGTTTAAAAGGTGTTCAGTCACAAAATGCCGTAATAAATATTTCATTTTTAGATTTTTTTCTGTTTGATAACACCTGTAATGGTTTCAACTTTCTTGGGACTTAACAACAGACTCCTCCAGAAGTGTGTGCAGCTAAAGTTTTTAGTTCTGTTGTTGGATAGTTCAGTCCTGTAAGATTCACATGGATGTGAGGTTTTCTATCTGATCCCAGACCCTCTGAATGATATTGGAAAGATGTGGTTGTCACTGCTTCCTAAATGGCCATTATTTTCACAAAAACAGGAGATTTTTTTTATCTTTCTTTCTGAGCAGAAAAGCAACTGGAAATTTTAAGCTCAATGGAAAGGAAACTTGTGGAATATTTTACCAGCGTTCAGAAAAAAAAGAGACAGGGTAACTTCTCTTCTAAAAAGAAACATGTACAGCGTTTTCTACACAAGCACCACCCGGAGCGTACAAAATCCGGCTGTTCGCGTGAAGAACTTTTATCAGTAGCTATTACTTAATCGAAGTTGAAAAATGATACTAGGCACCAAATTCAAATTTACAGCATCTTTCTATATCCTCGTGTCGCGATGTTTACAACTCTAGAGTCCCCCAGAATTGTGTTTTCACTGGTTCTTAAGTCTTGAAAGTTCATTTTAAGCAAGCCAACCTTCACACAGCTCCTTTCCCCCACACCTCCTGTCTACATTCCCACCAAAGCGAGCGTGTAAAAATGTCAGCTGATTGCAACCAGGATTTCTGATCCTCAAAATCAAAGAGTCTGAATTACTCCAGAGTTCTTTTTGCAAAGCCAGGATGGTGGCGGGACTGGGGATGACATATTTATAGAAATGTGGAAATTCAGATCGGGCAGCATTTGAAGTGAGTTATATTGTATTTAAAACCCTGGAGGTTTCTTTTTTTTTTGTTTACAGAGCTTCTTAATAAAAGTTTATTTAAAAAAGAGCCTGGGTTGATACCATTAAAATGTGTTATGTACAGACAGTCATGGATAAAGTTTATTTTTTGGCTGGTTCAATATGTTGTATTTTGTATTGCGAGCTGCAGACACCCAATGGACAATCTGATGCGTTTAATCATTAAGTGTTTTGTTTTTGGAGGCTCGTATATGCTGACCGTGAGTCATATTCATTTTCATTTCATTCACATTCGCTGCATCTTCTTCACATTTTGGAAACTTAACTTAAACCCGTCGCCTGTTGCAGTTTCTTTTCCAACCGGGAATTCGCTGGTGAAAGTTCGATTCTAGTTTTCCAACTTTTATAAATTCGCTGTTTATTGTGCTGCTGTCTTCCTAACTCAATCGCTCGTTTGCATTGCGAATTCCAGCTCCCCGCCCTCCTACTCCGGACTGGTAAAACAGGTTCGGATTTTCTAGGCAAATCTAGTCTTTCCCCGTTCAGAAAGCCAGCGCGCATTTTTTGTGCATTTAGCATGTTGAACTTTATCACTTTTTTTATTCCTGTGTTGTGCCCGGGTGCAGTGCAGCAACAACTGCTGTATGACTTCCTCCTCAAATATACACGGTGCTTGTGGCAATGCTAGATCATCTCTGACCCCAGTACGTTCACACACACAAAAAAAGCAAACTTCTGAAAACTGAGCAAAAAAAGAGGAAGAGGAAGCCGTCCGCGTTTTGTTGCCTTGAAGCCTGAGATCTCTTTCAAATGCTCTTGGTGTTTAATTACAACAATTGGTCTCAGGTTTATTCTGTTGACTATTCGTTAACAAATTAAAACAATGTATATTTTGTTTAAGCCCATGCATTCTTACGAAGCAGATTGAGAACAATTTCGCCAGATAATGGTTCTCGTCATACTCCTTCGTAGGATTGCTAGTTCTAGTGAATGGGGGTAGGTCGCAAAATGAGCAACTGGGCTACAGTCTAAAACTGAAAGGGACCCGTTTGCTTTTGAGTAAAATCACAAAGAATGATGAATTAAGCCTGGAGAGTTTGGACCCTCCCATTGTATCTCCTTCAGCTGTCTAAACCTGGTTCTTGAACTACTACTAAAATAACTTGAGAAAACATGGCGTTTTTAACAGTCTTATTTTTCGACTTTTTTTAAAAAAATACAGATTGAGATTACAGAGTGGACTCTGCGAACGCGAAATTCATATTTGCATAGGAGAGAGAATCTACGGGATTAACAAACCCAGCCTTTTGTGCTGGCGGCAATGGTCTCTTTCTGCAGATCAACCAGGATCCTAGGACACCCGTATCAAACTGGAAAGTTGGCTACGGGCTAATGTATTCTTGGAGAAATTGATTAAAATGAAACAAACAGTCCCATTAAAGCAACTTAAGGCGGAAATCTATTAAAAAAATCAAAGTTCAACAAAAAATTCTATTTACATAATTGACAACTGCAAATGCAAAACTATATTTTTATATCGTAAGTAAATTAAAAATAAAACAGGGCAAGTCATCAGATTTCTTCAGATTTGATTACTGGAGCCCGTCCCCAATAAATTACTACCGAAATGAATGATAAGGCAATAATGGTTATGTCTTCACTAATAACTTATTTACACTTAAGGATGTGTTCCTACCAGCGGAGCAAAAGGCAGTACATTTGAATCGTCTGTTTTTTCCCCTACATTTACCATTTTGGAATTTTTAAAACAACCATTTTAGTTGTAAACATGTTACTATGGAGACTACGTGTATCCCAACCCCTAGAGCCCAGAGTGGGTCAGAGAAAACGCCGCTATTTCTGGAGATCATTTATCACTGTCACCAGATAATGATTCCCGCAGCAAGCTCCTATTGATGTTTATAATTGCATTATCTCATATGGAATGATCAATGAAAACGGGAGCCAGGCATGGGATAATTAGAAAACGCTTCTAAACAAAAAAAAAACTTCTTGGTCCCATTCAAAAGATAGTCAAAAAAAAACCGTCTTTATAAACTCGATTCACGTCTGCTTTTAGCCTCTGTCAGATTTTTTTTTCGCCTCCAAATTCAAAAAGGTTACTATTCCGAAGCCTGAAATGTCCTCAAATAACCAATGTGAACAGGAGAAAATGAATCAATTCGGATTGTGTTACTGCCTCTCAAGGAAGTTATGACAAATTACCTGTGAACGCGTTCTGAAGAATCTTGGCTTTTAGCTCATCGCCCAAGTAAATCAATGCAAATAAATGGCCGGACTACAGGTCTCAGTTCCTCTCTGTATGTGCGCACCATTATCTACAATTCATTCGGTTCTCTTCTAAAGCTGTTACTTCTGATTTCGTCATTTGTCAGTGTTTATGTACGTTCTTTGATTTTTAGAAGGTTTATTTTCCAGCTTAAATTGTACAGCCTTTATAATCTTCCATAAAATATTCATCAATTGAAAGCGAACGGAAATCTCTTTTGAGGACAGTTAAGAGAAAGATTGACTACAGTAGTTTTGCGTTATCACAAAACTTCCAGTTCGAAATGTGTTCCAATTAGAATCTTGATCCCAAACAATTATATTTTGAAATACTTCTTGGCTGTGAGAGAAGCTCTAGGAAGCTATAAGCAACCCTCCCATACCGCACGTTAGCTGAATTTAGCGTCTAGATATCTTTCTCGTTACCTTTCAATGTCGTTTTTCTTCCGTGAAATCGATGTAATATGGGGAAAATGATTACCTTAGTCCCTTTGTTAAGTTTTGCAACTGTTGTGCGGTCACGTTTAACACTGAATTGAATTCAGTCAGAAGCCGTTACATCAAAAATTGGCAACGGGAGAATTGGAAAGGTTTACTTCATCTTATTTTGTCAGATCCAAATTTCTGCTTCGCTGTTGATGTGCTTTTAAAAGTCTTGATATAAACTGCCGATATAGTAAATGATGATGCACCGTGTGGATTGATGGGTTTTTACTCTGTGCAATCAGGCTGAGTTAATAGGCTCTGATTATTTGCCGGAATGCCAGGAGTCTGTTATAGCAGGTTACATGTTTAGCTTTCCTTCCAATTCAATTCTTGCTGAACCTGTACTTTGTGGATCGGTTTCAAAATGAGCCTCCCTTTAAGTTGGATCCTTAACGTCTCATTGAACAAACAGTAGATGGGTCTATATAGGAATTTTGTATATCGGAAAATTCGAGCGCATAGTCACAATATCGTGGAAAATAAAAGGGAAATGTGCAAGTTGGAACATAAAGGATGTTATACTGTTATAAAATGCGTAAACACAGGTGACGTCAGCTTATCTTTATCTATAGGTAAGGAAGTTTCATCCTTCTCTACAAGACGCTGTGGTTTTGTGTACAACACACTAAACATATTCCACTGAGTTCAGTGTACATGAAAACAGCTCACGTACACCGTTCATTTCGGGTTTGCGAAGAGCGAATCTGATTAGAGTCACGTCTTTATCTCCTGTATCTACTGGAGAGAGCTTGGGTGACTTTTACCTAACGGACTATGTATGAAGACATTAGACATCGCCTTGCAATACAGATGTATGCAATATGAAGCAGGATGTCGGAGTTTGTATCACAATTGAAAGGTTAGGTTAATGATAGGAGACACATAATCGGAAGATTTGAGGAGGGTGAGCAGTCTTCCTCAGTGTAAACAATCATTGCTTCATCAGAAAAAAAATCGGAATTTTCTAGCCGCACCAATCAGGTTACTGGATCTCAGTTCTTATTTAGAACAAGCATGTTTATGTACTTCTTTATATAAAAACAAGAGGCCTCAGATTATTCCCGCAGAAAGCTGGGGAACTGTTTTTTAACATAATTATCCCCAGTGGGTAACTGCCAACTCCTATCTGCTTTTGAAGATTGAGGCCGAGGGACGGGGAGGGGTTAATAGTGCCATCAATCTATTTATTATTTGTAATATTTTTCTATCGTTACATGTAAGATTTGCAGTTCTGTGGAGACTCCGAGTTGATAAGACACCCAGGCAAGAAAGACAGAGAAACGAATATCATTATAACACTCCAGTTAGCTCAACTCGATAAACACCCTCGTTATTTATACAGCGTTTTTGTTTCTTGTTGGAAATGATTTTATTATAAAGAAATGCAAATAAAATTAAAAACGCCCATCATTTTCCCATTAGCAATTTGATTTATAAATACGCATGGCCAATCAAAAAAGTCTGCCGCTTGATCTGCAGAATACTTACTATCAATATTACATGGACGATTGCAAAAAAAAATTAAAGTCTGCTGTAACAAGGAAAGCGGCGAGCTATTAGAAGCGCTGATTAATAACTAGCTGGATAATGTTCATAGCCTTTTCTGCTCGACTGCCTTTTGAATTAGAGACGGTTCCACACTCCTCAGTGTGCCTATCTCTAGAAGAATGAGTGACGAATATTTTGCCTCGCTCTCCTCGAACTTAATGATGTAAATATTCTAATTAGTAAATCACATTTGCTGAAGGCAAAACCGTGAGATTGAATCATCGACATCTCTGCAAAAGACGACCAAGTTGAGCATTCAGCATCGCTTAGATAATAGGAAAGGTCTATTTTTTAAAGAAAAACAAGCATATATAAAACTTGAGATAAAGTTCTGCCTGCAGCTTCTGTCTAAGGAATCTTGGCTATTCTCAATCTGCTAAGATTTAATCAGAAGCCTCAGGCGCGACGCGCGAATTTCAAGACCTTTTTTTTCCCTCATTAGTTTCTCCTCACTAATCTTGGGTGTTACGTTGGCTTAAAGGTTGTCAACATTTGACCAATTTCGTAAAAAAAATACACTATCGCTCCGGGAGTCGCAAAGCACGGCAGATAAATCAGCGGAACTAACAGGCGCAAAAATGTTGATAATTTATCGTTTACAAATTGTTGTTATTTTCTACCCTGCGTTAATATTTTTCCTTTTTTTGCAGAAAAAAAGGTTATAAATAGCCCGCGGGTGGTTCAGGGCTAATGCGCTATTAATTGCACGAAGATTTCATGACAACTGTAAATAAGAGTCTTGGATTGAAAGCTGGGTTTTGTCTG